AAGGTGGAGTCAGGTCAGATTTCTTTCATCATCATAATTTTCTCAGTTATAATTTTTGCAAAGGTGATTTCAATAACAAAATATCATAAGTACAACATGGTGACTGTGATTAATATATTATGTACTTGAATATTGCTAAGAGAGTAGATTTTAAGTGTTCTTACCACAAAAAACAAGTGTGTGTTGGTGAATTTTCAACCCAGAATCTCATATCCAGCCAAATTAAAATTCATAAATGAAGGAAAAATAAAATTTTTCGTGAACAAGCAAGCACTCAGAGATTTCATCACCACCAGGCCTGCTTTACAAGGGCTTCTGAAAGAAACACTATACACAGAAAGGAACAACCAGTATCAGTCATCCCAAAAACTTACCAAAAGGTAAAGAGTATCTCCATGATGAAGAATCTATATCAACTAATGGGCAAAATAGCCAGTTAGTATTAAATGACAATATTAAACTCACAAATATCAATATTAATTCTAAATTTAAATGGATTAAATGCCCCAATCAGAGACACAGACAGGCAAATTAAATGAAAAGTCAAAACCCATCCGTTTGCTGTATCCAGATCCATCTCATAAGCAAGGACACACAAAGACTCAAAACAAAGGGTTGGTGGAAGACTTGCCAATCAAATGGAGAGAAAAAAAAAAAAACAGGAATTGTAACTTTCGTCTCTGACAAAATAGACTTTAATAGTAACAAAGACTAAAAGAAACAAAGAAGGACATTACATAATGGTAAAAGGATCAATGCAACAGCAGGAGTCAATAATCATAAATACATATGCACCCAATATAGGAACACCCAGATACGTAAGACAAGTCCTTAATGACTTATAAAGAGACTTGGACTCCCCACACAATAATAGCAGGAGACTTTGACACCACATTGTTAATACTCGACGGATCAATAAGATAGAAAATTAACAGGGACATCTATGATTTGAAGTCAGACCTGGAACAGTAAACTCAGTGAATATTTATAGAATTCTTTACCTCAGGTCCACAGAACATACATTTTTCTTAGTATTGTATCACACCTATTTTGAAAGTGACCACATAATTGGAAGTAAAACACTCTTCAGTATTTGCATAGTATTTCACAGACTTAAATGAAGTATTGGTTGGCTGTCTGTTTGTTATTTTCTTCCCTTATTCCTTCCTGTCTCCGCTGTTAAGCACAATTATAGGCATAAAAAAGGTTTTTAATACCTACTTTTAGATTGCATTCCAGCCTGGGCAATAGAGCAAGACTCCTGTTCTCTCTCCCCCTTTCCCTTTCCCTTTCTTTCTTTCAAAAAAAAAAAAAAAGTAGACTGATGGCAATTATATTCAGATTCACCAAACATATTACTGAGAACCTACTGCCAGGAATTTTCATATATATTATTGAATTTAATCTTCCCAGTAAGTCAGATATTCCTATTGTACAAATTTAAAAAAGAAAACAGCAGACAAATTCAAATTGAAAGACATTCTACAAAACACCTTGGGTACTCTTTAAAGTATCATGGTCATAAGAGACAAAGAAAGACTGAGGAGCTATAGCATTTCATGTAGACAGGACAACTAAATGCAATGTGAGATCCTGGATTCAATCCTAAACCAGAAAAAGGACATTAGTGGGAAAATTAGCAAAACTCAACATGCAGAAAAATGTTAACTCAGCAATATTTCAAACCCTGCATACTCCAAAGAAAGGACTGGTCCTTGACAGCTCCTGAGAGAGAACTTCTATGCCCTTGGAATATCCTGCCTGAAAACAGAATCTTTGTATACCTGGGCCCTTGGTCCATGCCAGGCAGTTTATACTAATAATGTAATTCTGAGTGGGTCTTTGCGCCACACTCTATCAGTTTCACATCTGGAGGCAATGGGGACTGAGTAACTAAGGTCAGCCACACCAGCATCCCATGGCTCTGTGATGACTGCACTCTGAACACCAAGGTGTTACTGGATGGTGACATGCAGTTCCAGGCTCTTGGTGTCCCAAGCAAAATAACTGGACAGGGCTGGGCACGGTGGCTCATGCCTGTAATCCCAGCACTTTGGGAGGCCAAGGCGGGCAGATCACCTGAGGTCAGGAGTTCGAGACCAGCCTGACCAACATGGCGAAACCCTGTCTCTATTAAAAATACAAAATTTAGCCAGGTATGGTGGCAAATGCCTGTAATCCCAGCTGCTCAGGAGGCTGAGGCAGGAAAATCACTTGAACCCAGGAGGCAGAGGTTGCAGTGAGCCAGGATCACACCACTGCACTCCAGCCTGGGCTCTGTCTCAAAAACAAACAAACAAAAAAACTGGACATGACACACACACGTGGCAAAGCCAGCAGCAAAATTTATTAAGCACAGCATTATACTCTCTAAGAGGGGAGAGTGGGCTGACCTCTGCAAGATGAGATCAGCATCAGTTTAATGTACTTGTGGTCTTTTTATGTGGGTTTTTTTTCCCTTCTTTTCCCAAGGCTCCCTAATCTCTAGCCAGTGTCTGCCCTTTGATTGATAGGTGTGTTGCTTAGTTACTTTGGCCCTTGTGCACTTGCGCATTACCTCTATCCCATAATCTCAACCACGTGCATGATATGCAATTCATATGCATGAGTTTAATGAGCTGATTATCATCTGGGGTCATGTTAAGGATACTTTTTCTCTCTAATGCGCATGCCCATCTCTGAGAGCTGTTCCCGCCCCGCTTACTGGTTTGGTCAGCATCTGGCTGGCCATGGGGTCTCTTTACTCACTTTATCTTACTTTTAATTTGGCTGCTTAACTTCAGCTTCTTTTCTTGCTTCTTGTTCACTCGCCCTTCACCTTGCTTCTGCTTTCACTCATTCCGCCCTTTATCCAACCTTCAATTCCCTCTGCTGTTCTCCTGCCACAAAAGTGCACTTTCCTGGTTGTCAATACTTCGTGCATATTGTACCCGTCATTGCTGGGAGAATTAAGTGCTGTCCATAGAACACCACTGGGGGAAGACACCTAGAAGCTCAGTCCATTCTCTCAGAGACGTGACACTATGTACCTTTTTCTTCTACTGATTTTAATCTGTAAACTTTTGCTGTAACAAACTGTACTCATGAGTATTACAGTTTCTTCTTGTTTGTTCTAGAGGCAAGGTCTCACTCTGTCACCCAGGCTAGAGTATAGTGGCTCCATCACAGCTCACTGCAGCCTCAAACTCCTGGGCCCAAGCAATCCTTCCACCCCATCTCCCAAGTAATTAGAACTATAGGCACACACCACCGCACCCGGCTAATTTTTACATCTTTTTTTGGTAGAGACAGGGTCTTGCTATGTTGCCCAGGCTGGCCTCACACTCCTGGCCTCAAGTATCCTCCCACCTCAGCCTCCCAAAGCACTGGGACTACAGGCATGAGCCACTGTGCCTGGGTCAGTATAACAGTTTCTAAGTTCTGTGAGTCTTCCTAGAAAATCACGGGACCTGAGGTTGATCTTGGAGAATTTCTGACACACTCAAATAAGTTCTGAACATTAGCTAACAATATTGCAACAGTGTTAATGTCTTGGTTTCATAATTGTACCTTAGAAGAAGCTGAGTGAAGGATATACAAGAACTTTGTGTAACTTTCTGAAAGTCTAAAATTATTTCAAAATAAAAAGTTAAAAACAAAGAACAAGGAGATATGCGTGATCATTGTTAGTGCTGGGTATTAGGCACGTGTGGATTCAGTATATTTTTCTCTCCACTTTTGTACAAGTCTGAAATATTTGGTAATTTAAAAAGCCTTTTAAGCTAGAGAATTCAAGAGTTCAGTGCAACAACTCAAAATGATCACATCCAAAACATGCAGAACAGGGTCAGCTTCGAAGTGGATGAAAAAACCATGTAAACATAGAGAGATTATTACAAAGCCTTGCTCCAAGGGCCACTGAACAAGGCTTTCTTCACTGGGCACCTCCTGTGATTCAGGCCTTTCTCTATGGCAGAGAGAAACTAAGTCATTGCCATGGTCAGTGATAGTGTAACTCCTTGGCAGCGGTGAATCCAGTTGGAAGTGAAAACTTTCCCCTCCAAAGAGCGAGGCCAAGGCCACCTTCCCTGAAACCACTGCCCATGGCAATGAGAACTGCCAGGAAGCTGAGCCCCACAGCTCCACGAGGATCTATTAGGTAATAAGTCTTAAAGCTTGGGCCACCGATCCTGCCTCCTCCTGCAGACACAAGCTAGACAATACCTTGGGGATATGGTGGGGTGCTGTGAGGTTCCTTATTGAGCAAATACCTCACATTATAGGGGAGGTCAAGGCCTCGAAAGGGAGGACCCCTGCTCAGAGTCAACACGGCTCAGAAGTCCTGCCAGAACAGGAGCCTTGATCTCCCACTGGCCTCCTGATTTCTTTCCCAATCTTACACAAATGCGTTACGTAATCTATTTACGGTACAAACCCGAGCAAAGTGACATCCCCTCCCTGAGCTTGTTTCCTTACCTGCAAAATGGGGAGCTGCATCTGACTTTCCAAGTGGTTATGCAGGGAGGGAACCTCTAAGCCTCTCATCCGTCTCCCGAAGACCGGCTCCCATCTGGATCCCACACACTACAGATGGATGCTCCACAAATATTTGTCTAGGGAATGTCAGGGGATGCTAAGCATAAGACAAGCCACATGTTAGAGCAGAAACACGGGGAGAGAGGAAAATCATACGCCTTCCAGAGCAACCCTTTCATGTAAGGACCTTCTGGAGGGAGTCTGTTAAGCTCCTGTGATATTAACAGCTGAGTCCCTGAAGGGCACACAATGAAATATCAGCAAAGACCGGGATATCACTTTGGAAACACTGCTGGGGTACACAGTTTTGGGCACAATCAGTAACACAGAAATTCCTGGCTTTGAGATGGAAGGGCTCCACACACAGCAGTCCTCGGGGCAGCCCCAGCCCCTGGCGCGGAGGTCACACCCATGCAGGAAGAGAGGGAGGACAGAGCTCAGCAAGCCGACAGGCGGAGCGCGGGCCAAACAGGGCTCTCAGCTGCTGCGTTCCAGCCCCTCTGTGGGAGGAGAGAAGGGCAGGACCACAAGCCTGCCAGAGGCTGCGTTGCAGCCTGCAGTCAGGCGGAAAGGCCAACCTAACCCAGGACAGAGGGGAGCCAGGTGAGCCAGGCTGCGGGGCGGGGACGGACCGGGAGACCCCAGAGGACGCGGCGCCCTCGCGATGACCTTGTCCGCAGCTCCGGGGGCCCCTGGGCAAGTCTTCCTTTTCTGGGCACCTCCTGCAAACCAGGCCCTGCACTAAGTGTCAGGGTTACAGCGTGACGGTGACAAAGATCACGGCCCTCTTGCAGTTTCCGTGTTAGCAGCGGGAAGACGGAAGCAAACAAAAACATACGAAATGAGTAAATGACCTCGAATGTCAGAAGTGGGTAACTGAAACGAGAAAAGGGAGAGCGGAGTGAGGAGGACAGGGAACGCTGGGGAGGGCGCGTGGGGTTTTATAGAGGGTGGCCTCTTTCAGGTTAAATGAGGCTCAATGCAAAGAGCCATAGTGATTTGAAGAAACGGGGTTCTGGGCAGGGGGAGCAGCCCCAGCAAAAGCTGGCAGTGGCAGGGAGGCCTGGGCATTCAGAACAGCAAGGAGGTGGGGGCAGCAGCGCAAGGAGAGGTAAGGCGGGTGGAGAAGAGCCGCACTGGACTCCGGGGGCAGAGGATGGGGGCCCCTTGCCAGCACCCCCGCAGCCTGCTAGGGGTATTGGTTTGAAAGCCTGCATATGAATCTCACTTGCTACATGTGGCTGCATGATCTTATAAAGTCTCCTCCCTTTCCAAGGCCCACGTCCTCTCCATCAAACGGTAATAACAGTAGCGCACCTGTCAGGCTGAGGTGAGGAAGGAAGGGGATGAAAAGCATGGCTTTTCCTGCGGGAAAGACGCACAGACGCCTGCTGAGAGTTAGGAAATGCAGAGCTGGCCTCCTGGGCCTTGTAGGAGGAACAGGTCAGGAAATAAGAACTTGTTCCTGACACTAAGAACACCCAGGGGGCCATGGAGCTGGACCTGGACCTTGCTGAGAGGGAGCAGCAGAAGCAAAGGGTAGGAAGAGAGAGGAGAGGCCCGCGATGAGGGCGGTAAGTTGTCACAGGAGAGAGGCAGCGGAGTGGGAGGCTGGTAGACACAGCAAGGACTCCATTCCACAAGCAGCGGCCAGGAGGAGCAGACTCCAAGCGGGAGACGAAAACAATGTGATTTGCAAGACTTCACCTGGCAGCTGGGAGAACAGACAACAGGGCCACTGAGGCCAAGTAAGAGATGACAGTGGCCTGGGTGCTAGCCAAGGAGACAGCAAGAGCAGATAGACCCAAGAGACTTGTGAAGTAGGATGGACCGCTCCTGGCGGTTGCCTCACTGTGGAGGAATGGGGGCTTCTCAGAGGCCAAGCATTTGTTGTGAAGGAGGCTGGGCCTGCCCTGGCTATGAAAGACACAGGGGTTTTAGGGGAACATTCACAAGCAGGGAGCAGGCTTCCACCCTCAGTTCCACAAAACACCTGCAGGGCTCACAGAAATGGGGCTGAATTATCCTAGAACTTATGAGCAGCTGAATGATACCGAGGCGCTCCCAGTCATTCTCCACAGTGGAGCTGCAGTGTGGACAAGGCATGTGCTTTGTGGTGAGACCCCATCCAACTCCTGGCCATCTCCAGCTGCGTGGCTAGGGGCCACTCAACCTCTCCAGGATTGTTTTCTTCAGGTGTAACCTTCACAGACTTATTGTGAAGACTGCCCAAGGCAATGCAGGTAACACAAATTGCAGTGGATAGAGCCCAATCTTTGGGGTCAGGCCCTGTCCAATCTTGGCTAACAAGTATTGAACAAACAGATACCAGGCAATGACTGCATACCATGCCTACTATGCACACAGTGCCTGGTCCACAGCCAGCGTCCACAGGGCGAGTGTGGAAGTGGAGTGGCATTCAAGTACTTAGGGATGTCTTTCTTCTGCCCACCAGCCCTGGCTGACACCCAGCCCTAGGCAGTTCCTCTCACACACAGGTTGTTTGCACTGCCCAAGCTCAGAGCAGACCCTCAGAGCAGCCGGGTCGGAAGTGTGTCTCCTCAGTCACCAGACAGATCCAGGATAGGATGGGCAGCCCAGTGCACCGAGTATCATTGGGGGATACCTGGAGCAGACAAATGCACCCCGACATAGAGAGCGAGAGACATGTGCAGTCCTTTGACGTGGAACAGCTCACCAACATCCTTGATGGAGGCGCCCAGAACACTGCGCTCCGGAGGAAAGTTGGTAAGGGGAAGCTGGGGAATGGGACATCTGCTTTATGCCCCAGGCTTCTCTGGTCAGAGTCCTTCATTAGCAGTCCTGCCTCAAAATAACAAATTTTGCCCTTGAAATTCCACTGTTAGAGATTCATTCCTTTGAACTGTAAAGACAGTCTTTACATGCCAACATTGCCTGAGCCCACCTGAGGGATAGGTTTTCTAGGTGGCAGAAAACCTGGAATCTGGTCCTAAAATTCTGCCACCGCATAGCTTTGTAACCTTGGGCAATTCACTTTCCCACCACTGGTCCTCAGCTCTGTCATCTGTAAAATAACAATAACGTCTGATTTACTTTCCAGATCCATGAGGCAAGTGGGTGAGAAGATTTGAAGGTGCCAGAAACCTCACCCCAGGTCCCTAAGCCCTCTGTTCTCTGTCCTCTGTAGAAAGCATCATCCACAGTTATCCAGAGTTTAGCCATGAGGACAATTATTTCATGACCCAGAATGAGCGTTACAAGGCTGCCATGCGGAGGGCATTCCACATCCAACTGATAGCACAACGCCTGGGTTGGTTGGCAGATGGTCGTGAATTAGGCTATGCTTACAGGTACTCACTCCTGGGGCAGCTCCACTAGAGAAGGATATACCTGGGATCACCTGGAAACCCCCCAGCCCCATGAGCCATTTTTCCCAACAAAGGGAAGACTTACTAGGAAACCAGGATGGAGGTGTCCCTTATCTCTTTTACTCTGCTCAGGCAGTGTGTACCTGGGCCCTTGTCTCCAATAGGCTACTCAACTACAGCATCTCGCCCCAACAGAGCCCTTTCTGGAGACGTGGCCTTAAGTATACACGGAGTCTTCCTGAAAGCCCTCAGGAGTCTGGGCACAGAGGAGCAGATTGCCAAATGGGACCCACTCTGCAAAAACAACCAGATCATCGCAACATATGCTCAGACAGAGTTGGGACATGGTGAGCCAGGACTGCTGCATGTGGTGTGTAGGTTGTGCACTGCAAAACTCCAGAGGGCCCATTCACATCTCAGTAGCCATAGGTTCCTATACTCCGAGGAACATATGCTTCCTATGAAAAGCATTTCAGCAGATGGCAGTCAAGGGGCTTGAGGAAGGGGTGCTGCCTTCTAATTTGCACATATTGTATGAGCTGCCTGTGGGGCAAGTCATTCCTTCCAGAAACATCAGCACCCATCCCTTGTCATAGACTGGCTAGAGGGGACTGTGTGTCCCACACACAGCCGGCAGATGAAAGGGGAGAACTGCCTGTAAGTACAGCTGGGAGCTGAGCCCCACTCCATACTTTGCTGATGCCTAAGATTCAGGCCCACCTGCAAGCAGTTTCCCAGGTAAGAACCTCACCTGGGGCCAATGTCTAACACCCCTCCTTGATCCTAAGGGACATTCCTTCAGGGCCTGGAGACTGAAGCCACCTATGACGCAGCCACCCAGGAGTTTGTGATACACAGCCCCACGCTGACTGCCACCAAATGGTGGCCTGGAGACTGTGAGTATCCTTCCACCCCCCTTCCTTATCTCTCCCCAAGTAGAGCAATGTTGAGGGTAGAATAGCACTGGCTTTGAGGTCCAACAGCCCTCAGGTTGATTTTCTGTTCCAAGCTGCTGACCTTGGGCAAGTCAGTTCACCTCCCTGAGCCTCATGTTCTTACTCTGTAAAATAGGTGGGATATTAAACATTTCATTAGTGAGTGGCTGGAAAGTCCCAAAAGAACTTTGAAGTAGAGGAGGCAGTCGACCCATGAGAGACAAGGCCTCACACTCATAAACACACACAGACACACACAGACACACACACACACAGACACACACACACACACACACACACACACACTTGGTATAGTCCCAGGCACTCTCCACAACCCCAGTTCCTCTCATCTCCCGAGTTAGTGGGAGAGCTTACCACCAGCTAGAGCACAAGCCCTGTGATGACGCAGTGAAAAGAACACGCCTCCCTGCGCCTGCGGCAGACATCCAGGAAGGCTCACGCCCACCACCAGCACCAATCAGGCCACCAACGCCGTACCTCCCATCACGGCCACCAGGTGGCGGCCACATCAAGCGTCCCTGAGGCTCAGTGATTTACCAAGCCCCAAGAAGGGGTTCTCCTTGAAACTTGAGAATTTACCTCTGAGGACACATCTGTGGCACCTGGGGACCCACACCTTGTGTGGAAAAAAATTAAAACAAATATGAGGAGTCCAACTAAAACAGGAGAGTAACAGAAATGAGAGACACAGAGAGAGGGAGACAGGCAGAGACCAGAGACATAAGAGAGAGACACGAGCCAGGAGTGGTGGCTCACGCCTATAATCCCAGCATTTTGAGAGGCTGATGCGGGTAGATCACTTGAGGCCAGGAGTTTGAGACCAGCCTGGCCAACATGGTGAAACCCTGTCTTAACTAAAAATATAAAAATCAGCCAGGCATGATGGCGCACACCTGTAATCCCAGGTACTTAGGAGGCTGAGGCATGAGAACTGGTTGAACCTGGAAGGCAGAGGTTGCAGTGAGCCAAGATCGCACCACTGCATCCAGCCTGGGCCACCAAATGAGACTCTGTCTCAAAAAAAAAAAAACGAGAGAGAGAAAGATGAGAGAAAACAAGATAGAAAATGAATGACCACTGTCAAAAAATGAAGACAAAAGAAATCAGCCTTTAAGATCAGACAGACCAGGGAACAGATGAATCAGCTCTGCCCCTCCAGGCCAGTGAACTTCAGTGTGTCACTCTACTCTTTGAGGCTGTTTCCTTTTCTGGAAAATGGGAATCATCATCATCCCTCCCCTGCAAGAACTGGAAAGCATCTATCACAGGGTCTAGTGCCACCTGGATTTTGATAAATGATAATTATCCGTATTCACTGCTGTAAAGTTGATGAGAGTAATACATTAATAGTTAGGGGGTGGGGGGCAAAAAAAAGGCGGATCATTTCACAGTGCCTTTGCCGAGTCGCTGCTAGGTTTGCTTGGTTCTTTGGGGGCAATTTCGCCTATCTGTGATCAGTGACTTTTCAGGGCCCCAGAGGTACCCATCCAAAACCCCAGCCCCAGGAAGCTGGGTGGGAAAAGCAGTGCACAGGTCTTCCTGTGATGGGCCTCTCCTCTTTCCGCCCTCAGTGGGACGGTCAGCCACCCACGCCCTGGTCCAGGCCCAGCTGATCTGCTCAGGAGCCCGGCGGGGCATGCACGCTTTTATTGTGCCCATCCGGAGTCTTCAGGACCACACCCCGCTGCCAGGTAAGCCCATAGTGCTCCCTCAATGACTCCTGCCAGGAGGAGACCCCCTGTGGCCTCCCTGGACTGGGGCCCCAGAGGGCCACAGGAGAAGCTGGGACATGTCTCCCTTGGGCAGGGAGGGGTCCAGTTGGACAGACTTGGTGCTAACCGGCTAGGTGACCTTGAGCATCTGATTCAGCATCTGTCTGACCTCAGCTCGTTCACCTGCAAAATAGGTACAATAACCCCAGTGTCACAGGCTGCTGTGAGCTGGAATGTGTATGTGATACCTGGCACATAGCAAGCACTCCCTCAACTGATAGGTGTCTTCATCTCCATCTCCTTCAAGGAATCACCGTTGGTGACATCGGGCCCAAGATGGACTTTGATCAGATGGACAATGGCTTTCTGCAGCTGAACCATGTGCGGGTCCCCAGGGAGAACATGCTGAGTCGCTTTGCACAGGTTAGGGGCTTGGGAAGGCCGGGGATTTGTACTTCCTGGAGAGGGGACCTGCACTTTGTGCAGGCTGGGTGTAGGTCCTCCACAGAGCTGAGTTTAGGCCACATAACCCCCTCCCCCAAGAAAGGCTCTGACCTCCCACAGACGGGTGAAACCCCAGCTCAGGAGCAGTATGATCTTGGCCACAGAGCCTCAGACTTCTCATGCAGAAATGCTCATCACATGGGCTGACAGAGCAATCACGGCATTGGGTGGCAGCCCCAGGAGAGGACAGAGCTGAGGTGATCTGCATATTTACCCAGAGTGAGACCTAAACACACACCAGCCAGAGTGCCAGCAGGACCTCTGAAGGCCCCAATTCTGCCAGGCATCACCCTTTTTGTTACGGGTTATGGGGAGGTGCAGCGTGTCCCAGGAGAGGCGCTGTGAACCAGGGCACTTGGGGAAATGGCCTGGTATTTGAACATTCCAACTCCACATGAGCAGATTGAGGGTGAGACACCCTCCATGTGTGGAGCCCCACAGCTCTGGGAAGTGGGGGGAATCCTGGGGAACCTGGGCTCAGACCCTGTGCCCATCCTTGTTCCAACAGGTCTTGCCAGATGGCACCTACGTCAAACTCGGAACAGCACAGAGCAACTACCTTCCCATGGTGGTGGTGCGGGTGGAGCTGCTGCTGGGGGAGATCCTCCCTCTACTGCAGAAGGCCTGTGTCATCGCCATGCGCTACTCAGTTATCCGCCGCCAATCCCAGCTCCAGCCCAGGCAAGGGGTGCCCAATGACTGACCACCGCAGACATGCCACCTCCCAGTCCCACAGTGCCTTCCCCTGACCCCACCCTCCTGCCAGAGCCAGCGTGCTGGAGGCAGGCACTGCCCCCACCAACACACGCACACACAAAATCTGCCCAGGCCTTGTCCCATCTGGCCATGTCAGAGGAGCCTCTCTGGCTCCCTCTATCAGGACTGACCAGCTGGCCTGACCTGTGTCCCCAGTGCCTGGCCCCCTCGGGCTCTATGTGACTGTGTCTTTGGCCCTGTAGTACCAGGTCTGTCTGACCCCGTGCCTGTCTGAGTCCAGCTGTGTGCCGTGTGGCTGTGATGGGCTGGGGGGTCTGGGTCAGCCAGTTGCCAGCTGCATCAGACTCTGGCTGGCTGAGTTGATTCTGTCAGGCCGAGCCTAGCAAAACCCAATGTCATGTCGACTGTGTGTGGCTGCACTCATTCTGCCTGGCTGTGCTGTCAGCATCTGACTGTGGTATGTCTACGTCTGGATCCCTTTTGTTGTAATTGGTTGTGTTGCTACCATTCCCTCCACCCCACAGCACAGAACAGCAAGGGTCGACGGAACCCTCTGTGTACACTCAGCTCGGCCACTTCATTTTATCTCTCAACTTCCTCAGCTACAAAAGGGGTGGGCAGAAGCTGCCTTCCGCGGGGGGCGTGGAGGGTGAAATGCAGTAAGGTGCACTAGGCCCTCAGCCCAGGGTCCTTTCCTATGGCAAGCCCACAGCATCCTCGGTCAGCCTGGGCTTCAGAATCCAGGTTGGGAGTGTTCTCTGGAGGATGGGGCCACTGGGAAGAAGGGGCTGCGGCTGCTGTCCTGCCCACGGCCCATTTATCTGGGCTGCAGAAGTGTCCCCAGGGAGGTTATAAGAAGGGTGCATCAGGTGAGCAGCTGCTGCCCAGAGAGGCCTCTTGTAATCAAATACCCTTTCAATCCCGTTACTGTGAGCTCCTAAGTGCTGGACACAGCCTCGGGCACTGAGGACATGGCAGTGGATAAGACAGACACACTCCCACCCTCTTCCCAATCCTGGAGACGCTGGCCAGACCAGGTTTTCCTTTCCTTGGGGTTCCATCGGACCCGAGTTTACACCTAAGAGTTACTGTTTAGGCTTGACATAGTCCTCAGCACACGGCAAGTGCACACGGGCGGGGGAAGGTCACAGGTCCAGATCGTCAGGGGTGCAGGGCCACAGCGCTTCACCTGAAATCTTGGGACCAGACGCGCTGGAATTCAGAACTTTTCAGGTTTTAGGATAATACCTTGTATTTGCCGGAATTCTGTAAGCCTCCCTTAACAAGGGGCAATACCACCAGCAAACGTGTCAGTATTTCTGCAGTGAAATACGTGGATGTTCATGTTAGATGGGATTCTTAAAGGATCATCCATAGACTCATGTCAGTTCAGGCCAAGTTTTGCAATGAGTTCTAAGGAACCGTCTGTTTTTAAGGCTTTTATGGTGTTAGGGATAGGGAAAGGTGGATACAGCATGTAGCGATCTAAATCTTCCTCTTCTTTTCCCCTCAGTGACCAAGAGGCGAAGGTCCTGGACTACCAGACGCAGCAACAGAAACTCTTTCCTCAGCTGGCCATCAGTTATGCCTTCCATTTCCTGGCGGTCAGCCTCTTGGAGTTCTTCCAGCGCTCCTATAGTGCCATTCTAAACAGAGACTTCAGCATCCTGCCTGAGGTACCCGCTGTCCGCAGAGGGGCAGGTGCTGGTGGGGCAAGGGGGAGCAGCTAAGATTGTTCCACCCACTGGGGAGCAGCCATAACCCCATCCCCATGGGCACTCCCCACCCCCACCTCTCCCAGCTTCTAGCATCCCAGGGCATCTGGGTGAACAGCACCCTGATAAATAAATTTACCCACAACTGGCCCCCAGAGAGCCACAAACATGCTAAGAGGAAACACTCACACCTAGTATAGAGAACACAGATCCACAACCCCTGATGTGTATTTGAAACCCAAAAAGCCCAGATGAACAGTTGTTTGGAACTCATTTGGTGGCATAGTTGGACCTGAACTGACCTGATTAATCCGTCTGAGTGTGAATACATTTTGCAGTAAAATTATTAATGTGTTTAATCACTAAGGCTACTCCAAACCCCACTGGGGCTATGATATATAATGTACCTTAAACACCACTTGCCTGTCTACAATTCAGAAGTTACTCTGATTCCTAAATACAGCTGGCTCACAGGTCTCCGGTAAAGCACTGTGGACTTACATATGCAGTAAGATTCGGTCTGTCCCGGGAGCATGCTCTGTAAGCACTGTTAACCCTTCCAGCGACAGCTGAGGCACAGAGAGGTCAAGGAACACAACGTTCCTCCCAAGGACTTGAAAGTTCCAAAGATAGGTAGGGGCTTCAAGAATCAAAATCTCAAACCAGGCCGCTGCCTGCCATCCTCTGTCTCTGTTGGGCTGCTGTAACAAAATACCATAAAGCAGTGGTGTATAAACAACGGAAACTGACCGGGCATGGTGGCTCACACCTGCAATCTCAGCACTTTAGGAGGCCAGGGCAGGGGGACTGCCTCAGCAAGATGGTGAGAACCCCTCTCCACACACACAAAAATTGAAAAATTAGTCAGGTATGGTGGCACACACTTGAAGCCCCAACTACTGCTTAGGAGGCTGCGGTGGGAGGATTCCTGGAGCCCAGGAGTTTGAGAATACACTGAGCTATGACTGCGCCACTGCACTCCAGTCCAGCCTGGGCAACAGAGTGAGACCCTGTCTCAAAAAAAAAAAAAAAAAAAAAATTATTTCTCACAATTCTGGAGGCTGGGAAGTCCAAGGTTGAGGCTCTAGCGCATTTGGTGTCAGGTGAGGGCCTGCTTCTTAGTTCATAGATGGCTGTCTTTTTGCTATGAGTTCATATGGTAGAAGCGGCCTCTTTCATGAGGGCACTGATCCCATTCATGAAGGCTCCACCCTCATGACCTAATCACCTCCTGAAGGCCCCACCTCCTAATACCATCGCATTGGGGGCTAGGATTTCTACATAAGAATTTTAGGTGGACACATTCAGACCCTATCACCCTCCTGCCACCCATAAATGGGCTGACCGTGGACACCCATCCTCACAGGCCAGCTTTCTAAAACCCATTCCAGCAAAATTCATAACTCCTGGAGGCTTGTGGGCTCAATCCAGGCAGTACCCTCTTCCCAATCCTGGAGACAATGGCCAGGCCAGGTTTTCCTTTGCTCTTTTTTTTTTTTTTTTTTTTTTTTGAGACAGAGTCTTGCCTGAGTGCACTGGCACAATCTTGGCTCACTGCGACCTCTGCACCCCTGCACCCCAGGTTCAAGCAATTCTCCTGCCTCAGCCTCCCGAGTAGCTGGGATTACAGACACACACCACCATGCCCCACTAATTTTTGTATTTTTAGTAGAGATAGGGTTTCACCATGTTGGCCAGGCTGATCTCAAACTCCCGACCTCGTGATCCACCCGCCTCAGCCTCCCAAAGTGCTGGCGTTACAGATGTGAGCCACTGTGCCCAGCTCCCTTGCTCTTATGCCCCTACAGCTACATTGCCTAATTGTGTGCCTCTGGGTGAGTCACATAACCTGAGTCCCTACCTTCTCATTCATAAAGTTCTGAGCAGAGGAAACATTTCTTGCTTCAGAGCTGAGCTGGGCATGCAGTAGATGCTCTGTAAGTGGTGCACAGGGTTGGCCCCCATGGTGAAGGTCCCTTTACACCACCCAACCCCTCTGTGTTCTCACAGCTCCACGCACTGAGCACGGGTATGAAGGCCATGATGTCAGACTTCTGCACTCAGGGGGCTGAGATGTGCCGCAGGGCCTGTGGCGGACACGGCTACTCCAAGCTGAGTGGCCTGCCATCACTGGTCACCAAAGTGTCCGCCTCTTGCACCTATGAGGGTGAGAACACAGTGCTCTACCTGCAGGTGGCCAGGTAAGATCCAGACTGACCCAGGCCTTTGCCCAAGCCCTTGGGGACCCACCAAGCTTCTGCTGGGTGGAGGGTTCTGTCTGATACCCATAAAGGGAGCAGGCTTTGGGAAGCACCATTTGGGAGCTGTCCAATTCCCCCAATATGACCAAGCTACCCATTTCTAGGACACCATCCTCTCTCACCTCCACCACAGCCTCAGACTCCTCCCTCGTCTCTTGCTTCTGCCCTTCTCCGCTTCTCCACAGGGACCCACAGGGATCTTTTCAGAGCCTAGGGAAGATCACATCTTTCTCTGGTTTGAAATTCAATGGCTTCCCAGTGCTTGTAGGAAAATGCCACATTCTATGCTAAGGCCTGCAAGGTTCGTGAGACCTGACCCCTGCCTCCCTGTCCATCCTCCATCCTGCTCTCACCACCTCCTACCTCTGCTTACTTCTTTTTTTTTTTTTTTTTTTTTGTAAGATGGAGTCTCACTCTGTTGCCCAGTCTGGAGTGCAGCGGCAAAATCTCAGCTCACTGCAACCTCCACTCCCCGGGTTCAAGTGATTCTCCTGCCTCAGCTTCCCGAGTAGCTGGGATTACAGGCACATGCCACCACGCCTGGCTAATTTTTGTATTTTTAGTAGAGATGGGGTTTCACCATGTTGGCCAGGTTGGTTTAGATCTCTTGACCTCGTGATCTGCCTGCCTCGGCCTCCCAAAGTGCTGGGATTACAGGCGTGACCCACTGCGCCAGACCACCTCAGCTCACTTCTGCCAGCCACACACTTCTTTCTGTCCAGGAGGCTTTGCATTTGCTCCCTTCCCTCCCAATGTGGCCTTGTTTCCTTTGGAGCAGTTTCACAGTCTATCATCGTCTCATTTTTTGTCCACCTTTTTAGCTCTGCTCTCCAACTAGAGTAGGAGCTCCCTGAGTGCAGGGACTACCCTGACCTTGCTCACTGCAGCATCGCCCAGGCTTGGTGTGGAGCCTGCACACAGAGGCTCCAACCCCAGAGGCAGGAAGGAACAGCCAAGTCGGCTTCCTCCACACAGGCGGCTTCTTTTGATCCCTTTCAGGTCTGTGGGACCTTGAGGCCGACAGAACCTCACACTCACCTATTCTTAGGTGACCAAACAGGGTAAATGCTTCCCTATGCAAGGAGAAAGAATTTCACTGGCAAATATGAAATACATTTATTAGATTTTTTAAAACATATAATATCCCTTGGGTTTTTTTCCAAATTACAGAAGGAATACAATAGCACATATTATGTACTCTGGGCCCAGCACTGTGCCAAGCACTCTACAAATATCATCTCATTCTGCTTCATAACCCCCCATCAGATGAGAACCGTCCTCCCCACCTAGAGCTGGAGAAGCTGAGCCTTGGGAAGTGGAGATACTTCTGCAGCATCGCACAGGTCCCGGCAGGGCTGCATGGGATCCAGGGCTGTCTGAGCCCAGGACCCGTAACCACTGGATTAGCCTAAAGCAGCAGCTGAGAGTCACCTATAATCCTCCTATTCCTGTTAGCATTCTTGCTTCTATCCTTCTTTTTTCAGCTAAGAAAATTTAATTTCTACCCAGTCACTGTACAAGTCATTATAAATCCCCAAATCGCAGTGTTCTGATGGAAAATTCTGTTTGCTCAGATCACAGAAGGGTTTATGTTCAGGATCTGAGAGTGTCAGGCCCAGCTCCACAGGTCCTGGGGTGTGCCTCACTGAGGGCCTCGAGGCAGGAGGACCCAAGGGAAACCCTCAGGAGGGAGAGCAGGTGGAGGCCGGGTGATGCGACTCTCCCACGGGAAGGCTGGAACCCAGCATGAGCATGCCCGTCTCTGGGAGTGAGGGGTGCTGGGCTGTCCCACAGAGTCTCTCCCCTCTCCCTGCCTCCCCTTCCACCCCCTAGGTTTCTGGTGAAGAACTACCTGCAGACTCAGATGTCCCCTGGCTCCGCACCACAGAGATCTCTCCCTCCATCTGTCGCCTATCTCGCCGCACCTGTCCTGGCCAGGTGTCCAGCCCAGAGGGCAGCTGACTTCCTCTGCCCAGAGCTCTACACCACGGCCTGGGCACACGTGGCAGCAAGGTAAGCCAGTGCTGAGAAATCAGCCATCCCTCCTGGGGACAGGCTCCATGCCATACTAGGGCCTTTGGGATTGGTTGGTTGGACATTCGTGGATTCAGTTCTAAAAACCACCCTGTGCCTAGCCTCCCCAGTCCTCTCAGTTCCTGCCACCGTGGGCAGAGAGAGGGGAAGTCCCCCCCATCAGCTATGGACCCCCATCACTTCCCCATCCTGGTCACAGTAGTAGAAGGACATCACACCTCTGGCCAGTGAGGTAACTTTTAAATCTCTAGAGTCCTGTGGTGATATACAATACAATAAATGTACCCGTATGTAAATACTACAAATATATTGATATGCAAATGCCAATAAAGCAATACTCATATGTTTGAAATATCCCACAATCTAAAAATAATTTTTGAAAATATGACTACAGCATGGGGTAGAATTCATTTATTTCCAGCATCTAGGAGGCTCCAGGGAACACGGACAAAACCAAGGACCCATCCAGTCTGTCATTCAACAAATATTGTTCACTACCTACTATGTGTTAGGAATGACCAAATACGCCAGCGGCAGGAAATAAAAAGATATCCTGACCAAATACAGAGACCACCATGGAAAACATGGCGAGATTTAACTACCTAAAAAGAAAACCTTTTGAACCCTACCCCAAATTAAAACACCAAAAACAGGCTGGGTGTGGTGGCTTACACCCATAATTCCAGTACTTTGGGAGGTCAAGGTGGGTGGATTGCTTGAGCTCAGGAGTCTGAGACCAGCTTGGGCAACATGGTGAAACCCCACCTCTACTAAAAATACAAAAAAAATTTAATTAAAAAAAAATGAAACACCAAAAACAAACTGGAAAAACATATTTTCAGTATATAATCAGAGGCCTTATATCCCAACCTGTGGTCCCAAGGATGGTTAATAGTTATTTCAAGATCACAAGCAACTTGGAACATTCATTTATTTATTCCAAAAATATGTATTAACTGCCTATAATATGGCATGCACTGTTCTAGGCATTAGGGACCTATCAGTAAATAGGCCCGATAAACACCCTAGACCTCACTGAACTAACATTTCAATTGGGAGATTTGAGGAGGGGGATATAAGGCTGCTCAAGGTAATTAAAGTGTCATGATAGTTCTCCTTGCTTGAAGCTCAGTGTGACCTCTGCTTATCTATTCCCTGGCAAAGCAAAAAACATTGCTTAATAAACAGTTTGCTTTACACACAAATTCCAAGGGTCATGGATGGATAGGCAGGGAATAAAAAAATAAGAGGGATTAAAGGTGAATAAAATGGCAAATGACTAAGTGGTTTGCAGGACAAAGGTTGGTTTTCTGTTTTTGTTTTTAGGTTCCTTGGGTAGAACCTACAACAGGCTAGGTGACCGACAGGCCCCTCTGGCCTTTACAGAAAAACCATTCTCCTTGCTCAGGCCATAGGATGTCAGGCAACAGAAAAGTATATTGGTGTCAGGCTGGAATCTGCATTAGAAATAGGGTACAGCTCCTGGCCTATGGCTCTGAAGCTTTATAACATGGTGATTAAGTCAAGGCCGGCACGGTGGCTCACACCTGTAATCCCAGCACTTTGGGAGGCCGAGGCAGGCAGATCACGAGGTCAGGAGTTTGAGACCAGCTGGTCAACATGGTCAAATCCTATCTCTACTAAAAATACAAAAATTAGCCGGGCATGGTGGCACACACCTGTAATCCTAGCTACTCCTGAGACAGGAGAATTACTTAAGCCTGGGAGACGGAGGTTGCAGTAAGCCAAGATCCCACCACTGCACTCCAGCCTGGGTAACAAGAGCGAAGAGCGAAACTCCGTCTCAAAAAAAAAAGAACAAGTCAAAATCCTGGCTCTGCTCCTTATTAGCTGTGTGACCCTAAACAAATTAGTTAACCTCTCTGGGACTCAGTTTTCCCCACTGCAAACTGGGGGGTGCCTGCCCTTAAAAGAGTTAAAGAGATAATGAATATCAATCATTTAGCTTGATGGCACACAAGTGGTCAATAAATAGGCATTATTTCTACTTCTGAGGAACCACAGGAAGCCCATCAGTTGTCTTTTCCACTCAGTCAGGAAGCTGAACCTTTTTTTCTTTGTCCTTCAGGCTGATAAAGGACTCAGTGCACCATTTACAGACCCTGACGCAATCCGGAGCTGACCAGCACGAGGCCTGGAACCAGACCACTGTCATACACCTCCAGGCTGCTAAGGTGAGCTCCCGCCAGCCGAAGCTAAAAGGGATCCGTTTTTGTTTGCCAGGCAGGCTACCCTGCTGGGAAAATCCAGGTTCTGCCATTATTCCCAAACTCTGCTCTGCCAGCGGCTGCCCTCATTTCACTTCTAAGGCTTTAGTCCAGGGTATTTTAATTAAAGGACTTAACTCCAAAGCAATCTTGCTGGCAGCTCTTACGGGAAGAGGTAATGAGGCAGTGTTATTGGATTTGCTTCAGGTTGTTCAAATATTTCCTCCCAGATAGAAAAGCAGGTCAAGTCTCCCCTTAGCCCCACAGGCAATCCTTAGATGTCTGATTCAATTTCCACTCTGTTTTGTGTTTGTGCATAATTCACAGTCAGTCGGCAAATATTTGAGCACCCACTCTGCACTAGGCACTGAGCTGGGTGCTCATCAGTGAAGCCACTGCCCATACACAGCTACAATCAAGGAAGCACCATGGCAGGGAAATACAGGCTGCTGTGGAATCCCAGAGCAGGTACCCTTCTGCCTACCTGTAGGAGTCAGAAAGTGACATATAGGCTCAGACTTCAAGGATAAGCTGAAATTAGCCAAATGACGTGGCAGCAGCTTCGGAGAGAAGAGTTTCCGGGCAAAGGGAGCTGCACGTGCCAAAGGAGGCAGCAAGAAACAGCCTGGTGTGCTTGGGAGGAAGTGCAAATCTCCCAGGGAGGACCTAAGGAGGGGGACTGAGACACGGGGAGGAGAGACAGGCAAGGCCTCGTCTGACCTTTTGTACCACTGTGAAAAGTTGGGGGTTTGTTTTCATTGCAATGCCTGTGCTGAGTTTGTTTGGAGGTGGGGTAATGTTTCATTCTAGAAGAATCATGCAGGCTACAGGGGGAGGAATGGACAGGAGGCTAGAGGCCAGTTAAAAGGGAACAAGTCTGGGCCAGGACTGAGGGTGGTCCCGACCATGAGCGTGGCAGAGAGCCTGGAGACAAGTGGGTAGATCAGAGATGCTAAGGGGAAAGAAGGCAGGGACGGCCCTCAGCGCTGGGGTGGGAAAGAGGTAAGAACAACTCCCGAGTTCTAGCTTAGGCAGCTGGGACTCTGGCCCTGCCAATAACTGGAAAACTAAAGGCCTCAGGCCTCAGACCCAGAAAATGGCAGCCTTGGAACAGGAGAGCCCTAAAGGGCTGCAGATGCCCTCGTGGGACAGGGCTGATGGGGCAGGCTGGGCGTGAGCACCCCCACGTGAACCACCACCTCCACCACACCACAGGTGCTGGTATTGACTCTGCAGTCCTCAGTTCTGCTCAGCCCACAGCAAGGGCACCCCCTGCTGTGCTAACTGTCCTGTCAACACAGAGGGTTAGCCAAGGCTTTGTGCCTTCACTGGATCACCAAAACGGCAACCACAGCCTCCCATTATCCACTCATCCATTTTCCGTGAAACCTATGGCCTGCCTTCAAACGGACCAGATACTGCTTGCCCAGGTTACTTCATTTAATCCACACAACCCTGGGTGGGAGACTGACATCATCTCCACTTCAACGGTGAGGAAAGAGAACTCAGGAGTTAGGTCCCAGAGGTAGGAAATGGCTGAGTCCAGACACTTTCCCTTCCCAAACCACCAAGGGTGTGAGGAGTGACAGAGGTGAGCAACAACCTCGGGGGGTGGTGACGGAGGGTGGCAGCCAGCCAGCCTGCGGGGGAAGAACACATCCCTGACAGTTTCCTGGGGAGGTGATGCCCCAGCTAATTCTCCAAGGTCATAATGGAAAGGGCTTTCTGTACTCTCTGTGCTTTGTGGAGTTATCTAGTCTACAGAAAGCTTCAGCACCCAACTGGGCCCCATCTGGAAACCATAAATGTGCAGGTAGAGATAACTGCAACTTGTAGGGAGTGGGGATGATATTGACAGAAAAGTAGGCAAGGGAGAGCCACAGGCTAAATTCTGGTCCCAGCTCTGTGTGACCTCAAGCACCCCTTCCCTCTCTGGGCTTTAACTTCCCTGTCTGTAAACAAAGGGGCATGGAAGAGCCCTTTAGACTCTGACAGGCTCTGATTCTATAATTCAGACTGACCAGAAGAGATGTCAGTTTCCAGGACGACTGGAACAAGTGCTGGCCTCATTATAATCCAGCCGCTCTCCTGTGGCTTTGGCCACACAGGGTTAGGAATACAGCACTGGTGTGGATCTCACTGCCACCACTTTCTAGCCATCACCTTGGGCAAAAAACTTAATCTCTCAGAGCCTCAGTCTCTTCATCTGCAAGATGGAACTAATAACAGTACCTACTTTGTGGGATTCTGATGACGATTAAATGAGTTAATACACGTAAAATTTAAGAGAGGCAGCTAGCATGTAAGTGCTATATATCGCACCCCTACACCCAAATTAGACAGCAGGCAAGATTTAAACCAACACACGCAATGTAAATAATGTTCACTGTGCTCAGAGCATGGGGCCAAGGTTCGGCTCAGCCCTTCCCCAAAGCGTAGAGGTCACCCCTGTCTCTGATCCGCATCCTGCTTTTTAAGGCGGAGGCCCAGACCCTTGGGCAGCTCTCCATCACTCCACCCCTCAACTCAGAGCCTTGAGCATTTGAGGATGTGGCTCTCAGGTTAGGGCAGGAAAAGGAGTGTGGGTCTGCAGTTCTGCCAAGCTGGACCCAGTCTGAGCAGCAAAGGCTAATGGAGCCAGCAGAGGCGGCATAGCACATCTGCTCACCTCCCGCAGCCAAATGCTGCAAGCTCAGCAGGCTGTCAGCACACCATGTCTGCATGGCAAAGTGGAGTTGTCAGCGCCTGTGTGAGAGCCCCCTAGGAAACACAGGTTCTTTCCAAGTGAGAAAATGAATCGGGCCACCATCCTGCTGAAGACTCCCGGTCCCACAGAACAAATCCAGACCCTGTCATTCACAGCCCTTCACTGACCTGGGCCCCAGGTCTGGGTCCACCCTAACCTCCACAGTTCCACATCATCACCACATTATACCCCCACACTCCAGCCTCATTAAATTGCCTGCAGCTTCCTGAAAGCACAGCCTTTTGCACAAAATGTTCCCCCTGCCTGGAGTGCTTTCCCCCAATTCGTGTCCCCTTGGGTGAACTCCTTTGAAACCCCAAGATGCTCTTTTATTTTTTTTAAAGACAGGATCTCACTCTGTCACCCAGGCTGGAGTGCAGTGGCACTGTAACCTCTATCTCCCAGGCACAAGCGATTCTTGTGCCTCAGCCTCCCAAGTAGCCAGAATTACAGGTATGCACCAACACACCTAGCTAATTTTTGTATTTTTGTAGAGGCAGGGTTTCGCCATGTTGGCCAGGCTGGTCTTGAACTGCTGACCTCAAGTGATGCACCCACCTCAGCTTCCTAAAGTGCTGGGATTACAGGTGTGAGCCACAGTGTCCAGCCGAACCCCCCCAAACACTCTAAGTCTTGCTACTGAAAATCACTACAGCAGCACGGGCATCACAGGGGACCTCATTAAAAATGCACAGTCTTAGGTCAGGCACGGTGGCTCATGCTTGTAATCCCAGCATTTTGGGAGGCTGAGGCGGGCAGATCACCTGAGGTCCGGAGTTCAAGACCAGCCTGACCAACATGGAGAAATCCCTCTCTAGTAAAAAATACAAAATTATCAGGGCGTGGTGGTGGATGCCTGTAATCTCAGCTACTCAGGAGGCTGAGACAGAAGAATCACTTGAACTCAGGAGGCGGAGGTTGCGGCGAACCAAGATTGCACCATTGCACTCCAGCCTGGGCGACAAGAACAAAACTCCGTCTCAAAAAAAAGAAATGCACAGTCTTAGCCCCTGCATTGGAATCTGCATTTTGACAAGATCCCCAGGTGATCTATATGCACACAAAAATCTGAGAAGCTGGCTGGGCCCAGAGACCCACGCCTGTAATCCCAGCACTTTGGGAAGCCAAGGAAGGAGGATCACTTGAGCTCAGGAGTCCAAGACCAGTGTGGGCAACATGGCAAGACCCTTATTTCTACTAAAAATACAAAAAAAAAAAAAGGCTGGCATGGTGGTATGTGCCTGTGGCCCCAACTACCTGGGAGGCTGAAGTGGGAGAATCACTTGAGCCCAGTGGGGCAGAGGTTGCAGTGAGCCGAGATCACAACACTGTAATTCAGCCTGGGGGACACAGTGAGATTCTATCTCAAAAATAAAAAGTAAAATTGAGAAGCACGGCTTTACACTCCCTCTCTTCCTCGCTCTCCCTTGAGGAGCTCATATATCCTACCTGACAAAATAATTACATGTGCTTGTCTTGACAAGATGGGGACTGTTCAAAATATTAACAACCCATAAGACAGGGCACCAACCGATCAACTGGACGTCAGGCCTAGGGGAAGCAAGGTCCTGAAGGCCTTCTTCTGGGTCAAGCATTAGTTGCTGGGCTGTGGAGGGAAGGAGGGGGTCTTCGGGAAGGAGCCCATCTGGCAGGAGGAGCTTTCACAGGGTTGATGGCAGTGGACACTTGCCAACTGGTATTAAAGTATTATTTTAACAAGTGACACAGCCAGACCATTACATAGGCGCTAAATAACAGCACTGCTCACCTTAAGAAGTTTATACGCTAGCTGGGATAAATTTCATATACATCTTGAACTCTTATTTTCTCACCCCATAGTGCACACACGTGTGCACATACATACACCACTGACTTGAACATGGCAGACAACAAATAGCTATTGTTTTTTTTGAGATGGAATTTCACTCTTGTTTCCCAAGCGGAAGTGCAATGACCCAATTTTGGTTCACTGCAACCTCCGCCTCCTGGGTTCAAGTGATTCTCCTGCCTCAGCCTCCCAAGTAGCTGGGATTATAGGCATGTATCACCAGGCTGAGCTAATTTTTGTATTTTTAGTAGAAACAGGGTTTCACCATGTTGGTCAGGCTCGTCTCGAACTCCTGACCTCAGGTGATCCACTCACCTTGGCCTCCCAAAGTGCTCAAATTACAGGTGTGAGCCACTGTACCAGCTTTAAAATACCTATTTTCTTAAGAACAGTGGTGCTGACCTCCACCTTCCCCAGGCCAGCCTCCAATATGCCTGTATTCTTTCTCTCCACTTTCCAACCTACTTGAAACTGCTCCAAGCAAAATGAAGAAAACAAGAGCCATGTTTCAAAGTCCATGAGCCCCCCAACACACACACACACACACATGCACACACACACACACACACACACACACACACACACACGAACATATACACGCCATCATAAAGGCTCGATCAGACCCAGAGTGAGCTAGGAAAAAAGGTAGCTGCTCATCAGCCTGCTGGGAAGCACATGCCTGCCTCAAGTTTGTTCCAGCCATCTGGCCAAGCTTATAGGATGACTTCTGGAGTAGGAAATCAGAAATCAGGAGAACATATCTTTGTGTCTTTGTAGGCACACTGCTACTATGTCACTGTGAAGGGTTTTGCAGAAGCTCTGGAGAAACTAGAAAATGAACCAGCGATTCAGCAGGTGCTCAAGCGTCTCTGTGACCTCCATGCCATACACGGAATCTTGACTAACTCGGGTGACTTTCTCCATGATTCCTTCCTGTCCGGTGCCCAAGTGGACATGGCAAGAACAGCCTACCTGGACCTGCTCTGCCTGATCCGGTGAGTGGCTGAGGCTTCAAACCATGTTGGCCTTCAGAGAATAACCCTACACCCTTGTTCACGGGTCACTACCAACTCCAAACCCTTGCTAATGGGCAGAGCAGCAACAGCCCTGGAGAGGTTTACACCCTATTATCATTACACCAACATAAAGCATTATGAATTAATGAAAGAAAAAATGATAAATAATGCTACCTCAATTGAACTCTTCAACATTGTCAAGGAAATAGGAACAGTATCTAAGGAAGATGAATAACACAAAGCATGCTACATGAAAGATATGTGCTATTGTGCTAATGATAATAGTCTCAATCATAGCTAGCTTCTTTTTTTTTTTTGAGACAGGGTCTTGCCCTGTTGTCCAGGCTGAAGTGCAGTAGTATTGTCTCAGCTCACTGCAACCTCTGCCTCCTGGTTCAAGTGATTCTCCTGCCTCAGCCTCCCGAGTAGCTGGGATTACAGGCAGGATTCTTTTGGGGTTTTTTGTTTTTCTTTATTAAAGACAGGGTTTCACCATGGTGGCCAGGCTGGTCTCGAACTCCTGACCTCAAGTGATCCACCTGCCTCAGCCTCCCAAAGTGCTGGGATTCAGGCGTGAACCATCACACCCAGCCATAGCTAACCCTTAAAGAGCACTTATGTGACAGGCCCTGTCCCTCATAAGTGCTCTTTATCTTACATACATCTCATTTAATCCTTATAGCCCTTTGAAAGGAGTACTATTAATCTCCTCATTTTATTGTAAAAGAAATTCAGGCTGATGGGAGTTAGGTTGCCCAGTGTCACACAATCAGCCAGGGGAGGAGCCGGTTACAATTTCAGGTCTGGCCCCTGAGCATGCACTCTTAACCTGTATGTTAGGAATTACTTACTTCAAACACATCCTTGTCTTTTTGTTGAATGTGCTTAAGCAAATTCTTACCAAAATTAGTAAACTTACCTTATCCTCCCTCAGCTTCAAGATGAAATTTGTTTAAAAACCCTGTAATTCATATACTGATTTGTAAAATTATAACACAAAGTTTTTAAATGCAGCATGAATGCAGTGCTATGTAGGGTCATGAAATACTAATGCAGTGCTTTCACACTGTTATTCTATCATCTAAATGATTGCTGTAAAAACATCTCAAAACCAAAGCCCAACCTGATCAGGGTCCTAGAAAAAGTAGAAATAAAAACAATAAAGAAAAAAAAAAGCCTGAGCAATATGGCGAAACTCCATCTCTACAAAAAAATGAAATTGGGCATTGTGGCACACACCTGTAGTCTCAGCCACTCGGGAGGCTGAGGTAGGAGGATTGATTGAGGTTGAGGTTGTAGTGAGCTATGATCCCACCACTGCACTCCAGCCTGAGCAACAAAGTCTCAAAAAAAAAAAGGAAAGAAAAGAAAACATTGCAAATTATTTATCATTGTCTATAAGATTTTTAAAAAATGGACTAACTTGAGAATATAATCTTTTTGAGACCTCACTGGGCAGAAAAGATGATGCCTATTGCATGGGGTCAGGGTTGACTCTTAGAATTTCCAATAATTCTCATATCAACAAGACTAATAAAAGGAAAAAAGAGGCCAGGAGCAGTGGCTCACACCGGTAACCCTAGCACTTTGGGAGGCCAAGGTGGGAGGATCACTTGAGGCAAAGAGTTCAAGACTAGCTTGGGTACCATAGTGAGACACCATCTCAAAAATTTAAATACAAACACACAAACACACACACACACACACACACACACACACACATATAAAGAAAATAAGATCTGTAATTTTAAAAATAAGATTTTTAAGACAGGTTTTTTAAAAACTAGACCAAATTCCTTTTATTTCTAACAATATACAATATGTTACGTGCCCTTTATGACTACTCATAGCATGTAACACATAGCTGGTGGTTTAAAAAATGTTTGTTCAGGCTAGGCGCAGTGGCTCACACCTGTAATCCCAACACTTTGGGAGGCCAAGGCAGGTGAATCATCTGAGGTCAAGAGTTTGAGACCAGCCTGGCCAGGATGGTTGAAACCCCGTCCCTACTAAAAATACAAAAATTAGCCAGGCGTGGTTGCAGGCACCTGTAATCCCAGCTACTTGGGAGGCTGAGGCAGGAGAATCACTTTAACCCAGGAGGCAGAGGTTGCAGTGAGCCGAGACTGCACCACTGCACTCCAGCCTTGATGACAAGAGTGAGACTCCATCTCAAAAAAAAAAAAAGTTTGTTCAGTTAAAGCATGAAAAACTGTCAAAAAATACATTTGATACAATTATGTCCCAGGTATTAAACTTTCCCTAATACAAGGAATCCAGTGGTGAAAACTATTAAGAGCGTAATTAAGTATTGCACAGTTCAAGCCCAAAGGTGTCTATCTTTCTGAAATCCTCAGTATTTAAAAGTACGTGAAAATAATGTTCGAGCTCTGGTTAACAATGATGCAAAAGATCACCTTAATACCCTATAAGCATGTTTTTTAATTTGCAAACAGCATTTCTAAGAGCTTGCCTTGGCTCCAGAAACTTACAATTCAAGACAAGATAGACAGCCCTGATGCGAGCTGCCAACTTACTCATGCATCAACCCCGGAAATGGATTTACTTACATGACGGTTCCTAAGTAACCTTACTACTGCAGGGTAATTAGGTACATAACAGATTCTGTGCATATCATTATTCGGGGTCACAGTTCCCTGCCTTGGTTAGTCACTATCTCCCTAAGATTTCTGAGATGAAAAATGAAGGGTGGCATAGTATTCTAAGGATGCCAAGAACCAGCTCTCTGTAATGTTAACTGACCCAAACAGTTTTCAGTTGTTTAAGTGGTCATAAAACCTCAGTTGGGAGACTTCCAGGTACAGATAGCAGATTAAACATATGCATTCACTTTTGTTCTTTCCTGAAACCCTGCTAAAACATCAGTGAATGGACTGAAATTTTTTAAAAGGCACACACCCACAAAGAGGAAGAGAACAGGAGAGAAAACATGAAAGCTGGAGAATAGATGGACATACTTGGCAGACTAGTGATTTGGCAGACAAGTTACACCAAAGAACCCCAGGAACCAGCAGCACTGTGTACCTCTGGCAGTGGGGGTGAGGGTAAGAATGACAGGGGGGGTTAAAAGTCTATTTCAGAAGGAGCTGAATCCCCAGTCCCCTCCTCATCTGTGAGTACTTATTTAGGAGCTTTGGAGGGGTTTCTGTTTTTGTTTTTAAAGATAAGGTCTCCCTATGTTGTCCAGGCTGGTCTTAAACTTCTGGACTCAAGGGATCCTCCTACCTCAGCCTCCCCAAGTGCTAGGATTACATGCATAAGCTACCACACCTGGCCTCTATGAATAATTTTAAGACTTTCCCTGACTCTGCCCTGGCAGAAGGGTAAACGGAGGGTCTGTGGACTAGGGAGCATCAGGCATAGTTGATAATAAGACTAACCTTCAGAAGACAGGGGTCTTTATAGGCCAAATGCTGGCACCTCCCTCTCCAGACCTTTTTTCCCACTGGTTCCTAAGAAACTGCCAGCCAGACTAGTACCCTGCAAGAAGATGATAAGATGATTCTTCTCTGGAGAATCTGACCAGCCCAAGAAGGAGCTAAAGACACTGGCATCAGAGTCCCCCAGCGGCCCACCCAATTCACTCCATAGTGAACCCCACATTAACAAGCATAGCCACAGGTTTGTAATCAGCTAGTTAATGTCTACTCTTAGCTGTGATCAGACACTCAGGGATCACCAGACACCTGAAGAATGCCCCTAACGTAAAAAATGGAGACCAAAACAAGCAAAACAAGGCAATTCAGAGGACACAAGAGAATCCGCAGGGAGAAGAAAACTTAAAAAAACAAACAGTGAGATCTCAGAGTTAAGAGAAGATATTGCAACCACAAAATAAAAACCTAAATGCCACTATTTAAAACTAATATTCAGAGAACCTAAAAAAAGAGCTCCTTTAAATTAAAAAATGATAGTGGAAATGAAAACTCAATATAAGGACTGGAAGATAAAGTTGCAGAAATCTCACAGAAAGAAAGCAAAAACACAAAAAAATAGGACTTTTAAAAAGTAAGAGGACCAATTTTAGCTGTTCATCATCTGAAGAACAGGTTTAAAAAGAAGACAGAGAAAACAGAAGGAAGCGAATCATTAATAAAACAATTCGAGAAAACATTCCTCAAATGAAGGATATGAGTTTCAGGTTAAAAAGGATCACAGATGCCTACAGACTAGAGGAGAGGAGACAGGCACACATATGCACAAAATAAGTCATGCTGTATACCATGTGAAATGGTAATACCTGCTATGAAGCAAAGGGTAGCAGGAAGTGGGGGAAAGAATGCTGAAGGTCAGTTGGGGGGAGGGGGAGCTGCAGTTTTAAATAGGCTAGAGAAGGCCTCCCTGAGAGGGTCACAGTAAAGGAGAGACCTGGGGAGAAGGTAGGGGGAAGCTGTCGTGGCTGCTAGGGAAAGAGCATTACAGGCAGAACATCATACAGTCACGCCTCACTTAATGATGGGAGGATCCGTTCTGAGAAATGTGTCTTCAGGTGACTCTGCCATCATGTGAACATCATAGAGTGTACTTACACAAGCCTAAATGGTATAGCCTATTGCTCGTAGGCTGACCCCAGCAAAGTATGTGGCTATACTCAATATTGTAGGCAATTCTAACATAAATCACTAAGCAACAGGAATTTTTCAGCTCTATCATAATGTCATGGGACCACCATCATATACACAGTCCATCACTGACCAAAACATCATTATGCAGTGCATGATGGTACAAATGTTGGAGGCCAGAGTGTGCTTGGCATATCCATCCAGAGAACACAGAAGAGGTCACAGGGGCAAGAATGGCATGACTGCTGTGGAAAATGAGGGCAAAGGGCAGAGAGTTAAGGGAGTACAGTGGGGGTAGGAAGAGAGGATAAGGTAGATCCTTGCGAAGACTTACAATGTGAAGGTTTTGAGCACTGGATAGAATGGGAGGGTTTTGAGTATTGGATAGACACAACCTGAAAGAATCTTATGAATATTTTTAAAGGCCCTCTCCAGCTGCCATATTAAGAACTAAGAGTGAGGCCAGGTGTGGTGGCTCACACCTGTAATCCCAGCACTTTGGGAGGCCCAGGTGGGCGGATTACAAGGTCAAGAGATTGAGACCATGCTGGCCAATGTGGTGAAACCCCGTCTCTACTAAAAATACAAAAAAATTAGCCGGATGTGGTGGCACATGCCTGTAGTCCCAGCTACCTGGGAGACTGAGGCAGGAGAATCACTTGAACCCAGGAGGTGGAGGTTGCAGTAAGCCAAGATCGCACCACTGCTCTTCAGCCTGGCAACAGAGTGAGACTCCATCTCAAAACAAAAACAAACAAAAAGAACTAAGAGTGAAAAGCAGGGAGATCAGCTGAATGGCTAATGCGATAATCCAAGTGAATGATGGTAGTGGATTGGACCAGTGAGAGTGATGGAGGTGGCAGAAAGTGGTTGAAGGTTGAATATATCTTGAAGGCAGAACAGGATTTGCTGACAAATTAGATGTAGGGTGAGAAAGGAGAGGAAACAAGGTTTCTGGTCAGAAGGAAAAAGCTGCCATTTACCATAAATGGGAAGACTGCAGGAGGGCCAGGTTTGGGCAGGATGGACAGGAAAGCTCTGGCCAACCAGGGGTTTGGGTTCAGACACATTACATTTGAAGAGCCTGTCAGAAATCCAAGTACAGATGTTGGTAAGCAGGGGACATTGGAGGAATGAATTTGGAAGTCATTGGCATGTGGTTGATATTTAAAGCCATGAGGAGGACTATCACAAGGAGTGCATGAAGAGAAGAGGTCCAAGTACTGAGTCTTCAGACCCTCAAAAGAGAGTAAGTAACGATGACAAGAGCTATTTCTGTGGAGTCATGAAGTCATGTTTTTACATGAATTGATCTAGTTCAGGAGAGAATAAACAGGCGTAACACTTTCAGGGAGTTTTGTCCTAAAGGGGAGCCAAGATGATGGATAAAGAAATAGAGTCAAAAGCTTGTGTTTAAGATGGCATAAATGACTTTCTGTTTGTATACTGAAGGAAATGATCCAGTAGAGAGGGGATTTTTTTTATTGTACCTCTCTTTGAACTTGATCTTGGCCTCCCATCAGGCTTTGTGTTTAAGAGCAAGGTCTTTGAAGAGATCCTTGTTGTTGACAGTTTGTCCAAGAGGATATCCACAGAGTACCTTGTGGGCATGAGGTGACTGCAGCTGTAAGCTTTTGCAAAAGACTTGGTCTTGGACCTCTTGGAGATCTTCTTGCCTATGGCAGCTGTCAATTTGTGAGACTAGCAGTCAGTTCCAGCTACCAAAGCCTGACTGTAAGAATGGACTCAGGTGCCATCATCAATGCTCTTCACAATGATGGCTTTGCGTCCGGAATAGCATACAGCCAGGACTAGCACCACTTTCCCAGGTTTCACGAGCATGCCCATTTTGACAGCAACCAGCCAGGCCTACAGTAAAAGGAAAGAAGGGCATTTCCACTAACCATTCACCTCTGAGAGGGGAATTTTGATGTTATAGGGGAAAGAGGAGAATTTTGTTCTCCAGTAGGCAAGAGGAAAAGACATCTAGTAGACAAGGAGGGACTGAGGCTGGGAGCCTGGACAGCTAACCTGTACTAAGAGAGAAGGCACTGTACATATAAATGCAAAGGTGGGAACTTATACAGATTCTCTTACTTTTCCACTTCATCAGTGAAATAGGATGCAAAGCCATCCAGGCAAGAGAGATGGCAAAGGTGGACAGTGTCGATCTGAGGATCAAAGAGATTGTATGAAATAACCATCTAGGAGAAGAGTAAATGAACAATGAGTAAATACAGCAATGTAATACGATTGCTGAGCTGCAACTGGGCCCACCTGAGCCCTTATTACACCAGTTATGATTGGTTTTTCCAGCCATGTATAGCTACAAAAGTGGTGGCACAAAGTGGGTGGAAAATTAAAGACAAAGAAGTATGCATTTTGCTAAACAGGTATGACAAAGCAAGAAACTGTTGTGAGTGAGTGTGTGTGTGTGTGTGTGTGTGTGTGT